TTGATAAAAATTGTATAGAAAAAATAATGTTTCGCGTTGACCAAATATAATCATGCAAAGTATAAATTCAAAGTATTTTAATACATTGGTGAGAGGTCGCATTTGACGTGAACAAGAACATGCACCAAGAAGGAAAAGCAAGTCAAAGTCGAAACGGGGTGCATCTTGGACATGACACAACACACGCTGCGACAACTGGGTGATCAGCGACATCATTTTGGGACGCAATTGAACTTCAAGTACTTTGCAAAACTTGCTGCGCGGCGATGCTGGCATCATGTGTGTGTTGACCGAAGTTTGACCCCAAGTCCCGCACTGAACTGGCGCGTTACCTTAGCAACCTTTTTCTTTTGTGGTCCGCGCATCGATCTAGTAAAATTGTTATTATATTCGACGGTACTGTAATTACGCAACTTGTATGCAAATCTGTACTGGCTTTGAATATGTCAACGTCGTTTACTTAGTGCACTGCTTTTCTAATTACGCAAATTTGTTTACAATATTGTACCAGCTCTGAATATTTCAACTTTGTAATGTATTTCTTTCATGATAATTACGCAAACTCAAGTTAATTTTTACTATTGTTAGGATGCTGACCTGGGGTATTGAGTCTGTGAATATTTCAATATTACCGACTTGATAATGCGTTGCATTTGTAATAATTACGCAAACATAAACATGGGCGCATTTAAATCATTAAAACTGATAGTAGTCAGGTGTCTACGGAAAGTCGAGGAAATATTTTATATACTTGTGATTCATCGATGTTCCAATGGTGATTTTTTTTATTCGAAATGAAGTGAACATGTAATATAAACCATACCATGTGTCAAGTTAAATTTTACTATAATATAATATAATAAACTCTGGACAGTGCACTTCGATCGCAATATTCACTACATTTCGACTGAACTCTAATAACCACGTGTTTGAATTACGTGCAACGACCTCAAGAGTTTACGCACTGATATTTAAATTAGGGCCATCCAGCTTGACGCAAATCAATTTAGTTACTTGTCATGTGTTCAACAAATCTTTCAACTCTCACAAATACCATGAACACGAAGAGTTAACTGGGGGTTAACTGAAGGGGAACGTCTTTTTTGGACAAAAAACACGTCAGTACAAGATTATGTGTACAAGGTTAGATTTATAGAACGTACATGACCGCTTCACTCAGTGTTTTAATAATCACGTCGCATGTGAAACGCAGGAGACATTTTAGTTCGCCCATTTCTTGTTTACCGGAATGCGATACAGACAAAGATTAAACATTGCTGATAACAACCAAGAGGCTCGAATCCGGAAAGCTTGGATATTTTAAACTTCGTAAATAACATTCTTTTCAAGCGTAGACTTTATTCAAGTGTAATAAACGTAAGTGAAATGTATTTTAACGAGTCATAATACGCAACAACAATTCGTTTACAGCATTGGTTTTATTGAAGTTTTAATGCTTTTCGACTTCACAGTGAATTATTTTAGCGTCATATTTGAAATAGCACGCTCGATACAAGATGTCGGACGGGAAAATTGGGGTCTGTAAAAATGTTTGTTGGTTCAGTCAGACAATGTGTGGACCAAAACATCGCCCACTATTTGAAACATCGCCCATGGGCGGGGTTTAGGATGGGCGGGGTATCAGCCGAATCCGGTACACACGTGTTGGTAGTAAGTTTTCTTTATTGAAAAACATCACAGCTTCCATGCTCAAATGAATTCAACTCATTGTGAATTTTATAGAGCTATATCAAAGCCGGACCGACCGACGTTGAGTGTTGTCACCCTTTGTATCTCAGTAATTGACGGACAGAAAGTGTTAAGTTGTCTCCTCCAGCCCTTTCACGGCCAATTAAATACAAGATGCAACGAAACATTAGTTCTTTTACTTATCTGGATGTAACTTTTACTTACTTCAGTTACATCCCAGTTAACGTATTCCATTTATATAGCTTACAAAGTATTTGTAGACTATTGTCAAGTAATATGAGAGGGTGCACTAGAAACTAGCTAGGATATAGATATATTACATTCCAGTTAACATATATGCATTTTTACTACCATAAAAATATGACATTATAAATTAATCACAGGAAATAGCACGAACAATTTGTACCTTTAGATGGTAAATGTTTGTGGTAGATACACTCAGCTTTATGTTGCATTTCCCCAACATCTGGTAATGTTAACATGTTTTCCAGTATTTTGTCTATTATTATCTGCAACTCCGGTTCACTGGTTGGTCTCAGCTGTGACATGAACTCAACACCACCAATCTCCAAAAATATGCCAGCAGCCGAAGAATGCTGAAATTATATCGAAAAACAATTTAATTAAAAATTTTCTTTATAATTTCACAAAGCGTTGTACAACATATTACATTTTTTTTTATTCCATATGAAACATGCACGTTTTGGCCATTCTGTGCATGTTTTGAACATCTGTTATCAGTCAGCTGAAAAAAATGATTATCTTCAGAGTTATGATGATTTAAATATGAGAAACCATAAACCTGCAAAGGACTTCCGTTTGCGCCATCTTGCCATAAAAACGCCCTCATGAGGTATAAACAGGAAAGGTAACAAAGCATGATGACGAAATAGTACTAGTATCTGATTAAATATAAACAACTTAGGGAGCCATAGTTGGCTGGACTGGTGAATTGACTTCTAGTCTAGGTTGTTTCAACTTTTATGTTAATGTTATTTACAAGCGTATCAACATTATGGATGTGCGATTGATCGAGACAGGCATTTTGCTTTGTTTTTTGTCTGTCTAATAAATGCTGTTTCCAGTACTGCACTGTGCGGCGTGCAAATTATTCTGGATGCTGGAATATGCAATCTTGAGTTCGTGGTGGTGGAAACATTTTCGTCCATGTATTCACGGGGCTGCACTGGCAAATCACGGGACAATTGTCACACGAACACCAAGCAGATTGTTCAGACTTCCGTGTAATTTGAAATAAAACTATCATCCGAACAAGAGGCATCGTCGACGATATACCCTCATCACTCACACTGGACTGATCTGAATCTTCACAGTATACCGTACTCCCCTGATCATAGGCATGAACACCTAAGGCAAATATAAGGGATGAGCCTATACTCGAGGACCAACTCAGAAAAGATGATTTTGTTTTGGGGATGAACACTGTAACCATCTTGCCAACAACGAAAAATTATCCAAAAAAATTATTCGTTCATCACGCCGGGCTCGGGAAAATAATACTTATTTTTAAAAAAAAAAATGCATCATTTGATTTCCACGACACTTACAATGAAGAAACAAACATGTTCATAAAAAACACACATTTTATTACAATACGATTTACATACCATCTGAATTTACGGTGAAAGAATGGGTAGGGTCTGTGGGGAAACAGCCGAAGGCATTTATCATTATCTTCGTTTTGGTATATTTTTGATTGTACGCAAACATTCGACGCAAAGCAATTTTCCACCATGAGGTTTTTAGCACGATTTGACCTGAAACAACTTCCTTTGACCTAACAGGTCATGTCTTTCATTAACCAATCAAAATGATGTGTCATAATGATGAAATTGTCCAATTATTGACGATGATTTTTTAACGCAAGTGAAGTGAATTACCGCAATGTTAAAATGCGATCTGGAGCACTGACGAAACAACGATGATTTTTTCCCTAAAAACTGGCGATTCGCAATTTTCGAAATATAAACGACTGTTAATAGTAACCGTGGGTAAACTTAGTGTGGAGGAAGCATTTAAACACCTTTCACGGTTGCCAACATGTCACATTGTTCAAACCCTAGGCCTTTCATGATACTCTCAAATTAAACCATGCCCAATAACCAGGTACACTACTTAACGATCACATTTTTGGCTTTTCAAAAACTACTACTATATGGATTACTCCAGTATTGCAACATCGGGGTTCGTCCTGGGTAAAGGACAGAATAGAAAGGATGCAAACCACGTTGTGTACATGCGCCATGAACTCTGAAATTAATGCGAGTTGTCTCATAAAAGCACGAACCAAACTACCATGCCAATCAAGATTATTATGAAATGAAACACACTTTTTACACGCATATTTTAAAGAATATCGTCGACGCCCAGTAAAAACACTCTCGGCTTATAATCGTGAATGCCCTCAACTCAATAAATACATAGTAAAAATAGAGGAATGGGCTTCATACTCAGGAGGGGCTTACGATCGGGGAAGTACGGTACTTTAACGCAATTAGGCTTCCATTCTCAGAATACTGTGGTTCAAACACACAATGCTCTAACCCAAGTTCTAAAAAGCACATTGTGCATATAAAAATTGAGTTTATACTAGTAGTACACAATGCTTGGCAGCATGAACGGCTATGTACCATGGCGTATACGAATGCGATCAGATACTAAAACGTCATATCTTTGAAAAGTACCCGGATGTTAAATATGTTCGTTCATTATTTATTCACCTCCATGGATGGCCTCCATGGTGTTTAATTGCAAGCACTTCAAATGCCTATCCAAGCTACAGTTATAATTAAAACAAAATTAAACCACTGCAATATTATTTCAAACACAGTTTAGAAAATACACAACTATAAATTAAGGCCGCATTTAGATTCGCTTTAAAAGTGATTAACAGTAACAGATAAAAAGTGCATACAAATTACAAAATTAGGCGAGGGTTCTCCGAACCCGCCTATTCACATAGTTCATACCCACCATAGACTCCGGTCAGTCAAAATGACTATTTTGAACTGTATGCATTAATCAGCGATTCTGCCGGTGACGGAGAGATAGAATCCAGGTCAGGGGAAGCCCCATGACCTCAAGATTCTTTTACCCCTTACGTCACGAACCCACGTGACCGAGGCCACCTGGCAGCGCCACAGGTAGCCGTCCTTCACTCTGGTTCCTTTCTCTCCGCCTTGAGGACTTAGACCAACGCGACGGAAAGAGTGGGGAGGTTGGGGGGACCCGGAGTCTATGGTGGGTATGAACTATGTAAATAGGCGGGTTTGAAGAACCCTCGCCTAAATTCACTACGTTCAATTACACACCATAGACTCCGGTCAGTCAAAATGACTATTTTGAACTGTAGGCAGATCAGACACCGATAGGTGGCGGGTTTTTCCGAGCAAACAGAAAAAAAAGGAGAATGATGAAAGACTTTCCCCCAGTCCGGGATGAAAAACAAACCCAAAAACCTAAGTTAAGACCCAAGAAGGGTGGTGTCTTACCTTGCCTGTGCTGTCCCAGAAGCAAGAAGCCAATGCTGCTGTGGTGACAGGGTTCGGTGTGCCCGAGAAAGCTAGACCCAAGCCGAACTCAGGGGTGATAAGCTTGAAGTAGGACCGAAACAGTTCGCATGAGGGCGTAGGTCGACAGAAGCGAAACCTGGGAGCTTCCAGGAAGTGCTAGTGGAACAGACAATCTGCCCGCAAAAATGCAGAGACTGACTTATCG